CAGAAGTCTGTAGTCCCGGTGTCAGCAGGGCTGTGCACCTTCTGAAGGCTCTGGGGAGAGTCTCTTTCCTTGCCAGTTCCAGTATCTGGAGGCTGCTTGCACTGCTTGGCTCAGGGCCCCTTCCTCCATGGTCAAAGCCAGCAGCATAGCATCCTCTCTCCTTTCTGAGTGCTGCTTTGGTCCCTGCCTCTTAGTCTATCTCACTCTCCTGCTTCCCTCTTATTAGGACCCTTGTGATAAAATTGGGCCACCTGGATGATCTAGGATAACCTCTCCACTTCAAGATCCTTACTTTAATCACATCCGCAAAGTCCCTTTACCTGGCAACGTGGCAGCCCGTCAGCACCCCAGTTCCCCAGGGCAGAGGGGTGACGTTGGCGTTCATGTGCAGGAGACTGCAGTGTTCCTGTTGGTGAGTCCTGGCTTTGAAGACAGCACAGCAGGGCAGGAATGCCTTGTTTGTTCTCGGTCTGAGTCAAGTGGGATGGGGTACTGGGGAGTGGTCTTAAGTTCCTCTAGGAAGCCAGAAAGATCATATTATATCTCTGGAAGGCCCTCTCTACTGACTGTTTGGGACAAAACCAGAGAGAGAAGGTAGTCGTCTGAAAGGGACAGTGCGTGGTTGGGGACAGCCATTCTCTCCTTCATTCCACATGTTTCCTGAGCCCCTGTGTGCTATGCTGTGCACCATGCAGGAGCTGAGGGGACCGCAATGAACAAGAAACCACCATGTAGGAATCCTTCTACTTGGGGAAAAGTGACATGGAAACGAAGCAGTGATAGTTCTGTGGTTGATGAAGGCAGGAAGCGGTCAAATGTGTAACAGGTACATTAGCATGACGGGGGAGGGGGACATTGGGTAAAGACTCCAAGGAGAAAACCCTGACAAGAGGGCTGAGGTGGGTGTTTCAGGTGCTTGGAATAGCGCTCGCAGAAGCAAGGGGAAGGAGACCCTGCGTTGTGTTTCAGGAGCGAGATGAAGTACGGGCGTGGCAACTGTAAAGTGGGGAGCAGGGCACTGGAGAGGGCACCGGGGCCACAGGTGGAACTGTTTGCCGCGTCGCCAATTTCATGATGGGTTCCAGGAAGGCTGTCTGCTGCCTTCTCAACTTGTTAAACCCTTCAATAGCAATTATCACTCACTCTGTGGACCTCCATTAAATGCTTATTGATAAGAAGTCTTTCCCAGTAGCAACAGTCTCCCACACTCGCCTCGCCTCACTAGGTATTATTGGATGAGAGGGCAGATGAGTCACTTTTACAGGATGCTCCTGGCCTTGCGTGTCTCATGAGACTTGCACTCACATCGGAGCCTGGCTTTTTCTCCTGGTGGACCGCTGTCACGGTGTTTTTCTAGGTCTGAGCTTCGGAGGATCTCAGAAATCCTCCGAAGTATGGTTGAAGCGAGTTAACGTACGCAGATGACACGGGTGCAGGGCCTTGTTCCTGAGCCTGGGGCTGCGTGCCCACTGCCGCCTCCTGCCTGCGGTGCTGCCCAGGCAGGACGAGTCACTGCCAGAGCAGCGTGGCTGTGTGTGCCCACGGCAAAGAAAGAAAGGAAAGACACTTATTAAATGCCATTTATTCTTCTTCCCAACCGCACACTTCATTACCTCTGATGCCACCATTCAAACAAACGCTCTAATTTACACTTTTCTGGGAACTTTTGGAAAAATGGATCAAAACCCCAGGTTACCTGAAATGCTGCAGTTACATGTTTTAATGGCCCTAAAAATTATATTTTGTCAAAGTGAAATAAAATTTTGAAAGGCTTCATAATAGTTGTGAAAAACAGCTAGCCTCTTCGGATAACACTTATCACAAGGTTGCTCTTATGAACAGCAGCTCAGCACACCCTGCAAATATCTCATTAAATCATCCAACCTCGCTGGGCAGAAGCTGGCAACAGCAGCTTGCAGACTGCCTTTTTCTCCCACAGTAGGGGTGTTCCTGCTGCCTCCAAAGGAGTCTGAAGAAACACAAACCACCCAGGTTGAGAGCTTTTTATCTTCACACTGTAACTTGGAATGCATCTTGAACAATTCTCTACATTAGCAGGTCCACGGGGCCCTCCCACGCCAGGATGCAGGTTTGCTCTCCAGCTGGACCTTTTCAGTGCTCGTGGAGCCCTGCTCTGGCCCGGCTCTGTGCTTGGAGCTGACTGAGATTCAGAGGTGAAGAAGGAGCTTACTTTACTGTCTGGTGTGCAGGAAAGACACAAGAGCAGGTTGTCACAATAGATGTGGTATGTGATTTGCTAAAGGTAGGTCAGAGATGAGCTAACCCAAGCTAAGTGTTAGAAAAGCCATCTCAGCAGCCTCCTGCACTGTCAGCTCCCTCCCTGACAGTTGCGTCTCCAACTCATTGGCAGACACTGTGGAAATCCTGTTCCCAGCTCCCTTTACCTCACCGATTCCCACTGGAGAGGCTGCAAAGCCAAATACTTGCTTTTCTAGCCTCCCTTGTAGTTAGAGTGGCCATGTGACCTAGTTCTGTCCAATGAGAAAGAAGCAAAATCAACAGTGGGGGTAGGGGGTGTTCCATAAAAGTTCTTGTGTTCTTGAGTAAGAGGGACAACCAGTCTAGCATGGCACCTGGATTCTTCTTCCTGCCTTGATTGCATTCATGATGGCTGTCACTGCAGCAGTGACCCCGTGATTCTGAGGGAAAAGCTGAGGTTATTGGTTAGATAGTAATCCAGTGCCACAGCTGCCAACATCTAGACTTTTCATCATCTGGAAAACAAATAACCTCTGTTTAAGCCACTGAGGTTAGGCTTCTAGCACTTGCAACCAAATGCATCCCTAACTTATAACAGGCACCTACCTAGCAGGCAGTCCAGATATAGTGATTGAAGTTATACATAAGGTGATCACCTGAGTTGAGTCTTAACAGATTGGGGTGTGCTGCAGGTATTTCAGTTGGAAGAAACTGAAAACGTATGTACAAAAGCTTGAGGCAGGAAGCCATGAGGAGCCAACAAAGGAACCATTAACGAGAAGTTCATTGTTAATAGAATATAAGGTAAGAGGCAGGCAGTGGTTAGATACAAGCCTAGAGAATCAGACAACAGGGGCCAGATTAAAATAGTTTCCTTAGATGCAAAGAAGGTCCCGGGTTCCCATGACATAACTCTCCATGTTACCCCTGGAACTGCAGAATTATAGTGAAGGCCACCACAGCAAGAGGAAGAGAAAGGAAGTAAATTCATCCCTCCTGTTGGCCACTGTATTCGTTACCTACTGCCGCATAACAAGTTACCCCCAAACTTAGCAGGTTAAAATGCATATTTATGATCTCATTCTTTCTGTAGGTCAGAAATATAGATGTGGGTTAACTCTGTCTTCTGACAGAGTCTTTTACAAGACACAGGCTGCAGTCCCATCTGAAGACCCGTCTGGGGAGGGTCCACTGCCTTGCTCACTCGCATGGTCATTGGCAGGGTTCAGCTCCTCGCCCCGTGGTCTCCCCACATGGTTGCCTTGTGAGGCAACTCACAAGAGGGCAGCTGACTTTCAGAATGGGCAAGTGAGAAAGCAGAAGAAGGAAGCCTGTGTCTTTTTGGAACTTCTCTCAGAAGTAGAACTCCATTCCTTTGCTGTATGCTGTTCGTTAGAAGCAAGTTACAAGTCTAGCCCACTCTGAAGGTGAGGGAACAGCAGGTGAACACTGGCAGGTGCAAGTCACTGGGGGCCATTTTGAAAGCTGCCAACCACAAGCACACTGCCACCTCTTTTCTCCTTCTCCTCTCCCTTGTCATGTAGCAGAAGCATCACCATTGTCCTTATCATCACCACAGCCACCATGATTATTGATCGAACATTCCTTATGTACCAGACACTTTTCCACATGTAGCTCATTTACCCGCACAACAACCATGTAAGAGTAAGTAATATCCCCATCTTGACTGTTGGGAAGCTGAAGCTCAGAGAGGGACTGCGATTTGCTCTACATCACACAGCCAGGCAGAGGAAGAACTAGGAGTCCCTCCAAGGCCTGGCTGCAGTGCAGCTCCTCACCGCTGCTCCAGGAGGCGGCACCTCAGAGGCGGGAGAGCCTCGTCTGCCAGCCCGCCCTGCAGCCCAGGCTGCTGTCTGCTTTCCGGTAAGCTCACCAGCACCAAGAGCCACAGAGCACACAGACAAGTGGGATAGGCCCCCTCAAAATGTCTGGGCCCCACATAGAGGATAATCAGAAAAGATTTGTGAATTAGATAATAACCTTGTAAAAGTATCAATTTCCTGATTGTAATCTGCTCTGCCATTACATAAAAAAGGTCTTTGTTCTTAGAAAACCTCTAAAGTATTTAGAGGTTAAGAGGTGTTAAGTCTATGACTTTCAAACATTTCAGAAGAAAATAATTTGTAGGTAGACACAGGTGCGTGTGTGTGTGTGTGTGTGTGTGTGTGTATGTGTGTGTGTGTGTGGGGAGAGAGAGAGAGAATGATAAAGCAAGTGTGGTGAAATGTTAGCATTTGGGGAATCTGGGTAAAGGGTATATAGGAATTCTTTGCATGAGTTTTGCAGTTTTTCTTGGTAAGTCATAAATTGCTTTAAAATGGTCTTTTTAAAGTACTGGTGTCCTCTGGGACCTGAGTTCTACTTGGATTATCAAAGATGATGTTATGTGGGTTCTTATATACCTCCTTTTGACCCCAAGGAGACCCATCAGAGACCAGCGAGAGTACTTATGGGCAGAGCTTGGTCTCTGAGGTCAGGCTGCAGGGTTTCAGCCCTGGCCCTGTGGCTTCTAAGGCCCCTGAGGTGTACAAGTAACCATTCAGGTTGTCGGAAGGGTTTGGTGAGACAAGGGATATACTTTGTCATGGTGCCTACCATAGTTCTCGGCCCATGGCAACCCCTGCACACATGTCATTGTCATTATTACTGCCTCAGTCATCTAACAAGTGAGAAGTAATGTCCTGTGTGTGGCTTAGAGACAGTGGTCTCGACAGTTGTCTTAGTGCCAACTCCCTGACATGAGTTTTTGTCCCCATAAGGCAGAGTGGCCACGGCAGCAGGTGTGAACGCGCCTGACAAGATGAAGAGCCGCATCCCTGTGGTGCTCCTGGCCTGTGGTTCCTTCAACCCCATCACCAACATGCACCTGCGTTTGTTTGAGGTGGCCAGAGACCACCTGCACCAAACAGGTCAGTTGGGGCCACGCCCAGTGGAAGAACTGGTGGGCAGGGCCTCGTGGGGCTTTGCTGGCTGCTCTCAGCAACATCACTACTAAAACTACTCAGTTTCTTCACTCACCAGATGACTGGTGGCATACATTTCTTCCATCATAATCTGAGGGCTAACGGCCCTGAGCCATGTGACAAGTACCAGTCATATCCCTGGTCATAGAGTGGAATCCTCCCCGGGATGCCCCTGGGCCCCTGCCCGCCCCATGCTGCCCGTGAATGCTAGACACTGAGCACTTCACAGAACCTGTGTCTGTGAGGGCGTCCTTCCCAGTGCTCCCAGAAAGCACTTACCTGCACAGATGAAGAGGTAGCCCGTGCCCTTGAGAACCTCTGCTACTCTTCAGTGGGTAAGCAAACGTTCTTGAACCTTGAACAGTTAACCCTTGAACAATGCAGGGGTTAGGGCCACTGACCCCCTGCACAGTTGAAAAGCCACATAAAACTTTCAACTCCCCCAAAACTTAGTTGTACAGAATTCTCATACACTACTGGTAGAAATGTGAATGGTGCAGTGGCTGTGGAAAACAGCTTGGCAATTTATTCCAAAGTAAGTGTTTACCTACCATATGATTCAGCTGCTCCAGGCCTATTTACCCAAGAGGAACTGAAGCATATGCTCCTGCAAAAACTTGAGCATGAACATGCAGAGCAGCTTACATGGTGTTAACCCCAACCTGGAAACAGTCCAAGCATCCATCAGCGTGTGCCTGCAAACACATGGCGTTGAGTCCCTGCAGTGGAGTAGTACTCAGCAATGAAAAAGATGTAACCAGAAACACAGGTGCCTCTCAGTTACGCTGAGTAGGATAATCCAGAATGGAAAAGAGTGCACACTGTATGTATTCCATTTATTGAAAATTCTAGAAATTCTACCTGAAACCTATATAATTTTATTAACCAATATCTCATCCCAGTAAATTCAATAAAGATAGATTGATAGATCGATAGATCGATAGATAGATAGATAGATAGATAGATAGATAGATAGATTCTAGAAATGTCAAACCAATCTACAGCGACAGCAAACAGACCAGTAGTTGGGAGGTCAGGGAGCAGCACGGGCAGGGGGAAGGATGGCAGGGCGGCCCAAGGAAAGTTGGGGGTGATGGGTGGGTTCATTATCTTGATCGTGGGTATATTCATGGGTATATTCATGTGTCAAAACTTACCACATTGTACCTTTTAAATACGTATTGTTTATTGTATGCCAGAGGAATTAGAAACCATAGAATTCAACAGAGATTTAAGAGACATAAACCAAATACCATGCATGGGCCTTATTTGAATCCTGATTCAAGTCAACCATAAAATGGCTAGGGGAGGTCTGAACACTGACTAGATATTAGATGGTATCAAAGAATTAGTGTTTATTTTTTAAGGTCAATAATTTCTGTTGTGTTATCCTTGGTCCAGCAATACCACTTCACAAAATTTATCCTAAAGCAAGTATTTGGAGGGGAAAGAGTATCTCTTTTTGGGGGCAAGAAGGAATACACTCCCTATATATTTTTAAATAGAGTGTGGAATAATGTGTAGCTTTCAGGGTACGTAGCTTCTACTTGGCTTGCTGGGAATATCTGTTGGACTCTGAGCCGCCGAGTGGCTTTTCCTGCCAACTTTGACTCATCAGAAGCGGCTCCGTGGGCAATGTCTTTGCTGTGAGCCTTATTGGGGCAGGGCCCATACCCTGCTTTCTAGAATGTGCTGCTTCACAGATCGCGGCCTGCACACGCTGTGTTGGGGACTTCAGGTGTTTGAGGTTCTTGCGGACTCTGCTTCACCCACATGGTAGGACTCTGGCATGACCCTGTGAGGTGTCAGAAAGTGTTCCTGGTCCCCGGAGGTCATGGTAACCACAGAATGCATGGATATACATTAAATTGTGTATGATTTCTATCGCTGGGGTATTAGTAGGTAAAGGGGCCTTGGTCACAAATGACTTCCAGTACCTTCTTTGCCTATATTTATAGTCCTTCCTCTGCAGAAAGTACTTGGTTATTTTGAAAGTCCAGAATGAATTTTCCTACCTGTGTCTTTGAATGTTGTATGTTGGGTTAACACCTTTCAACACTGCACAGATATTTACTGCATCTTTCCCAGGCCAGGCACTCTTGCTGGAAGTAGAGTTGTTGAAATTGTATTCCATGCCCTGAAGGAGTACACAGTTTTATGGGACTAGAGATGCACAGCAGCAGGTGATTGTGGCACTAGGTGCAAAGGAGGAATGTCTCCCACCTGGCAATAGCGGAAAACTTCTTGGAGGTGACACCCAAGGCTTGGAGAATGTGAAAGACAGTCAGGCACAGTTTGGGGGGGGGGGGCGGGGCAGGGTGCAGAGAAGGGAGCATGGGTTAAGCATGAAGTTGGAGAGAGCCACGTTCCAGCACGTGGGGGAGAGACGAGGCTGGTAGGTAGGGAGGACCAGGTCATGGGAAGGGGGCCTTTTTTGCCACTAGGAGGGGCGTGTGGTATGAGTTTCCCTTCTCTGCACAGTCGAGCATTGTCTCTCCCCCACACACGGCCCCAGTCGCCAACCGCAGCCTCCCATAGCCAGCAGGTCTGTGCACGGAGCCTTAACCCAACCCGCCCCTCTCTAGGGGCAAATATTTAAACAGAGCCGTTCCTCTCCATCAGAATCAGCTCACCGTGAAGGCTGCATGAAAATCTGGCCCCGCAGCTGACTTCCTTTTTCCTTGAAGAAAACTAAAATCTTCCTTCTGTTGGTATATTTTCACTAACAAAAAAAATCATGGTTTGTATTTGGCATTGCATGCATATAAACTGAACTGAACAAGCTAAGGCAATTTGTTCAGTACCTTTAAATAGAAATTAACAGTTTCTTCCTAGTTTGCTGCAGGAGTTCTAATTTCGAACTCTTTCCCCTTTTCTAAGCATCCCTTCTTCAAACTGCAGTTGTCCTTTCTACATTTGTTTCTTACCTTTCCTCCCGGAGCAACAATGAGAGCTTAAAAGCTGACAGAATCCCTATAACATATCACAACTTTTAACTACCTATAGTCCTGTGACAACTTAGATCCGTAGATTTTCATTCATACACTGACAAAGTCGTACCTGCTCAAAAGGTAGAATGTCGAACAAGCTATTTTCTTACCCTCCTGGACCTGAAAGACTGTCTGGGAATAAGACCTGGGCCAGCGGGGGTGAGTGGCGTCTGTGGGTTTTCTGCATTTTTCGGTGCCGTCCGTCCTGCTGCCGAAAGGGCGCTCTCCGAGAGGATTCCCAAAGCTTGGTGGCTGACGTGTGTCGTGGTTGTGGGTGGCTTCAAAAAGTTCATTTGGGGTTTTTATTCTCGATCTGGTTTTTGGCAGAAATGACCCAACCCAACAAATATGATGTGTCAAGAGCATCAGACATACCTAAAGCATTTCATTCAGGATTCGAGCCTGATTTCCTCTAAAGACGTTGGGTGTATTCCCAGTTGTAAGCAGTTGTTTTCCCAACACGTAGTCACAAACTTACTAATGGAGGTCGAATTCAACTTGTATTGTTTTCTTTCATATAAAGGGCTTGTTATTTTTAGTCAATATAATTTGGCCATTGGCCTATATTTTAACAACAGTTTACAAGTATTGCATTTTTTAAATCAAACCTTCTGCCAGTTTAATATTTATTTATTTATTTATTTTAAGATTTTATTTATTTTTAGAGAGAGGGAGAAGGAGGGTAGAAAGAAAGGGAGAGGAATATCAATGTGTGGTTGCCTCTTGCACACCCCCTACTGGGGACCTGGCCCACAAGCCAGGCATGTGCCCTGGCTGGGAATCAAACTGGTGACCCTTTGCTTCGCAGGCCAGCACTCAATCCACTGAGCCACACCAGCCAGGTTTAATTAATATTTATTAATGACAGTGCAGTATCTGTTTGTTTTATGTATCTAACAAGCTCATACCATCCTTACTGTTTGCCAGGTAATGTTCTAAATGCATTACATGAACCCATTTAACCTTCGTAACAATCTGGGAGGTGGGTACTATTACTCTCCCTATTTGTCAGGTGGGGAGGCTGAGGCTCAGAGATTTAGTAACTTGCCTGAGGTTACACAGCCAGGAAGCAGCAGAGACAGTTTGCCCCAGATTCTGTGCTCATAACCACCATGTCATGTTGCCTCTATTCATTCCACAGATTACCTGTTGAGCTGGGAATTCTGCTACATACAAACATAATATGGAGAAAAGTGGTGTCTGTACTCCTGGGGGGGGGGTACCTCAGTCACCTTGGGCACTAAAGTGTAACAAACATACTGTAAACTGAGTGACTTAAAGACAGCAGAAGTTTATCTGTATTGTTCTGAAGGCTGGAAGCCCAGGATCACGGGGCCAGCATGATCAGGCTCTGGTGAGAACTGTCTTCTGGGTGGCAGACTGCCAACTCATTGAATCCTCACACGTGGAACGCAGAGACCAGAATCGGCTTTTTCAGGACTCTCAGAAGGGCACCAATCCCATTCATGAGAGCGTCATCCTCATGACCTCATCTAATCCTAATTGTCTCCTACGGGCCCTGCCTCCTAACACCATCGCACTGTGGCTCTCAACATATGAATTTTGTTAACACAAATATTCAGTCTGTTGTGGGGAGACAGACATTAGTCAAATCCCACATAGAAAAAATTACTCAGGTGACATGTGCCACTGAGGGGAAGTTCCCTTTGCTATCAGTGTGAATGGTGAGGCAATTTGACAAAGGCAGAAAATCCAGGGGAAATGTTTCTGAAAATGTAAGGACTGAGCTGGAGAAGAATAGAATAATCAGGCACTTTTTAGGTTGAAGTGACGTCTAAGGTCAGGGGAGGAAGGGAAAGAGCTTTCTTGGTGGTGGCGGCAGGCGTCTCTCTGCAAGGCCTCCTGAAGGGGCAAGTCCCTGAGACAGAGTTGGTAAGAGCAGAGTCTGGGTGCAGTAGCAGAAAGTAGGGAAACAGTGGGGGCCAGACTGTGGAG